CATGTCCGATGTCTAAAGCCTAGCGTACATCGGACTGGCAACTGATTATATCCGTCGCATATGAGTTGCTGCCCCGCACACATCGACAATCTGACAAAAACAGGCAACTCCCAGTATCAGACCAGTCTGGGGAATAACAGCGCGTACATCGACAGCAACTGGCCTCAACTACAGTGTGTTTTCTGACATAAACTGTTGCGGGCTCGCAATACACGCAATACACACACGTTGTTGGAGCGGCGCATGGAGCGCGCACATCGGGTCATATCTCCGAAACTGAGGACAACTAGTTGCCGAAAAGTAGAACACGGGCAACTGACTGAAACTGGAGACCGACTGATCATCTCCAGTTGTAAGAGCACTCACATCGACCGATTTCGGCAACTGATCATCTCCATCATCTCCTCTCAGTCGCCAAAAGCCGCCTTGCAACTAGTTGTCTCCAGTTTCTCTGTCGATGTACGCTAGGCTTAAGGTCATCTGGTGAGGCATTAATGCAGGCCAGGCCAGGCCAGGCCAGGCAGTGAGACTTCCCAGGGACCTTTCCAGTCTGTATGAAAGGCGTCATGGTCTTCTCCACAGCCTTCACCTCAGATGCAGACCATGGCTTTCTCTAACGTTCTAGGGAGAGAAATAAAAATATATTAGCAATATACACTCCCAGGGTTAGGACCAAGCAGCCTGGCTGTAATCCCCCACCTGGTACACTTACCAGAAGGGGCACTGCCACTACCATGGGGTGCATCTGGATGAATGGTTGAAGGTTCTCCGCTTGAAGTTTCTTTTAGCCCGTCCGTTTGTGAGAGGATCTCTACTGCTCTCCCTGTCGCACAGAAAATAAAAATACAAGTGGCCTTTAGGGGAAAAAAATCATACATATTTTAATAATATCAAGAATTACCTTCAGGCTCAATTTGTATCTGGTCGAGGCTCTTTCCTTCGAATTCCGTCACTCTTCCCTGCTCCATGGCCATCAACACTTTGCTGATTTTGGCCAGCTCCAGTGTCCCCTCTGGTAGTCTGTAATATTGCCTGTGGATGCGAATGTCATGGCCGAGGAAGTTGGCAAGTATGTCCATCTCATTCTCTTTCATATTGAGAACTGTAGACATAGTAGCTATGTGCTTTCTAAGTTTGGTTGAGGATAGCATCTCTGGATGCACCGCACCACATTCTTTGGCTACCTGGCGTAGGGAGTCTGATCCCCTGATGTGGGTGTCTGCGCCCGGGCGGGAAAAGAAGTATGGGTTATGGTCAGAGATGGAACAGGCCCTTCTGTTCTCCACCAGCACCTCCATCGAAGCAATCATTTCAGGAGTCAAAAGAACCGGCACTTTCCGACTTCTTTTCCCTTTAATTTCAATGCGTTGAAAATGCTGACACAGCTTTTTCTCAAGTTGGGACAGTCCCAGAGCAATGTCAGAATGGATCCCAGTCTTACTTCTTAAGGTAAAGGCTGTCAGTGGCATCTTTGAAACCTCACCTTCCCTTCTTCGATTGAAAATGATGACCTCACAAAGAGTCAAAACTGCCAGTTTAGACCAATGCTTAGACGTTGGCTCACTTATTAGGGTTTGCACATATTCAGGTCGACATACCTCAATATGTGCATGCATGGCTCTAACGTCCTCAGTCAGAGGGAGCAGGTCCGGAGTGTTCCACTTGGCTTGCCGGAGGGTCTGTAGGGCAGCAGAAGAAACACAGACGTCCCACCTCTTCTCAAAAAGCAGCCGGCTTCGTTGGAGGTTTTTAATAAATAGTTCATCAACACAATGCTCCATTTTTGAGTCACATTCAAGAATATCTGCTAGCTTTCTGAGGCTATGGCCGAGTTTGAGGGCCAAGGATGGAGTCTTGTATTGATTTGTTTCCTCATCATATCCAGCCACAGACCTGACTGCATCAATCACATGGTTAAAGTTGGAAGGAATAAAGAAATCCTTAATTGTTTTCAGTTTCCCTGCGGTTTTTGCTTCGTTAATTAACCTACCGACTTCTCTCATTTTCTGCCTAATGTAATCATGCTTAGTCTTATCATGCCCGTGTTTTAAGTACAGGTGCTCTCCGAGTCTCAGAATCCCCTTTTCTGCTTTGACAACACCCGTGACCTCATCCTGATGCATTGCCGAAATTAAAGACCACAGCTTTTTGCTGATGCCCTCCGGTACAGGCTGGGCTAGGGAGCAGAGGGACTGGACCCTACTTCTACCTGGTTTAGCCTGGGCATCTTTCTGTGAAAGCCGGCACCTGGCCACATGCCTCCACAGCGACTTTCGCTTAAGCAATGCCCCACAGTCTATACAGTGCAAAAACTCACTGGATTTAACTGGGGAATTTGGCTGTTTAGCTGGGACTAAAGTTCCAATGCCGGCCTTTAAAACCTCAAAATTGTGCTCACGGTTTCCACTATTCCTGATCAAATCAAACTGAAGTTTACGTGCTTTAGATTTCACAGGTAGAGCCAATGCTCTGGCTACGTCACTTTCATTTCCATGTTTTC